TACTAAAAGTATTTGCAAAATGTATCATTACTTGACTTATTGTTATAAACTAAATTTTATATATCATAAATAGGTATTCAAAAATTTAAAATAAAACTTTTAATATTAAATATCAATTTTAAAACATACAGAAATAAAGATTCAGTTGAATAGAATTGTTCATATTTTATTCAAAACTATCAATATCAATATATGTCAGACACACACACACACAGTAGAGTCACACTAGTCCAAACTAATTGGGTCCAAGCCCTGTTTGGATTAGCAGATTTTCAGATTAGCGAATAATTGAAATAATTAAACCAGACCTGTTTTATATAGATCAAACACCATCAATGATGTCAGCACCCCACCCCTTTATTTCATCTGACTTGTACTCAATAGAGAGTACAAACAGTTAACAAAAAAGTTTTGTAATTTTGAAATGGCAACCTGCCTTCACTGTTTACCTTAAAATTATTTTAACTGCATAAAAAATGTTTAATACACAGTCCAGAATTCCAATCAATTGACTGATGCTACTGTGTGAGTTAGCACGCTTAACTGTGGATGTTGAATGTCCTCTTTGCTCTACATTATTTTAGTTTAGTTTAGTCTGCTGCTACAATGGCCATGAAATGGAAACATGCAATGTGTATGTTGAGAGACAAGCTGAACATCTTGAAAAAGTTGGACAAGGGTGAAAGTGCAACGAAATTGTCAGTAGAGTTTGGAATGAGTAAGGCCACAATAACCGACTGGGAAAAAACTGTAAAGATTGAGCAGTTTTGTGATTGATTCCTCTGATCCGACTGTTCACCAGAGTTCAAGAATTACTTCTGGGTAATTTTTGAACTCTGGTGAACAGTCGGATTAGAAGGACATAACAAATTTTGTTTATTAGTCCACAAACCCCTTTTAGGTGATTAGATAAATAATCAATTAACCCAACTAATATTACTGAATGTAACTTTTTCAATTTTTATAAATTGTAAAGCTTGAGAAAGTTCTGTTATAGAGAATAAAAATGCACTTAATTTACTTCTAACCTTTTAATTTTGATTTATTTTAATGTTGTGCATTTGCAAATTTATTTTTAATTTTCTTAGAATAGCATTAAGTGCATCTGTTTGAGAAAAATAATAAAATTACTCAGCAATAAATGCTTAAATTAGCTCAAGTTTTTAAAATAATTTGAAAATACCTAACTTTTCCTTTGGATTTTAAAAAAGCAGAATTTTTATTATTAATAAATATTGATTTTAAATATAAAAGAATGACACAAGTAAAAATCATCAGAGTTTATAAATATTTTCAAATAATTAAGAATTATGTTAATGAATTATTAACATTAAATTTAAATATAATATATTCATTACTTAAAACATTTTACATTATTTTATTTCTGCAATATTTTAAAGTGTTAAAAATTGAATTATACGAAATGATTTCTATTTGTGTCTTGTTTATTTTTGGGATTTTTGTAGAATGTTTAATATTTACTAGCGAATGGCTAATCTTAAACCTGGTGAACTAATTTTGAACTTTGCTCATTATTTTAGATTAAAAAGAAGTTGATTAAAATTATTTATTTAAAGAATGAAAGCATCTTAATACTTTTACTTGAAATACAAATTCAAATTTAGATAATTGTTTCTAAGTTTTAAAATAAATTTTGATATTTCTACTTCAAATATTTGGATTGTATATTGCACAAATGCATTTAGACATAAATATGTTTACAATGATTAGAAAGTATAGAAGTTAATATCTATAAATTTGCATCTTAAAAATAGAAGAGAACATACCTTCACTTTAGTTTCTTACAATTTCTTTGAGAATATTGAAAATCTATTTAGCATGTAAATCCAAAAATTTTATAGTAATTTTCAATGTAAGTACTGGATGATAAAAAAAATTGTTAATTAAGATACTATACATACTGACTCAAAATTTATAAAGTTTAAAATTTTAAAAAAATTCAGATTTGTTTCATCTACTTTAATGCAGTTGGCATTAGTAGCATTGCAGAAAGACTTCTCATAAACTGAAAATATTTTAGCATTGACTTCCTCTGATAAAGTGATCATTGTATTTTTCTCAGCTTGATACAAACATTGATTCAACTGAATGAAAGAGAAAATATTTTAATACTAAACTTCAAAAACTGTCACTTTTATATCTTGGAAACATACTTAAAACATCTAGAACATAAAATGGTATCCAAAAGTAGTATAGTTTGTCTCTATATACAGAAAATGAGAGATGTGATATAATGAATTGTCTCATATAAAACTGCACAATATGACTTGAATACTCAAAGCTCACGTACCATATAACAAATAAATGTAAGACATTTTTTTGTTGTTACGTTACATATCTTCACTTTCAAACTAGTTACTCTAGGAGATTACTGCCTCTATTAAAACTGCTGTTGATTTTTTCATATATTTAAATAAATAAATAAATAATTATTAAGAAACTATACCAAATATCAATAATGCAGATATAGGGTGAATGTATACTACATTATCTTTTAATGAAATATATCTGTTTTCTGTTGTTTTTAAAAACCAAATTTATCATAACTGAGAAAGATTAAAAATATAACTTCATAATTTCAATATCAAAAATAAACTTTTTGGTAATAAAATGAAGAGTTAGTTAAAAATAAAACATTTTTATTAATATTATCAATCAAGAACAACAGTCACTTTGCAATCATCTTTATCTTCTTTCTCATAAATGTGATATCACATTAAAATTAAGAACAAAGTGCAAAACTGTCTCATGGTGTTATTTAGTAATAAAAAAATATATACAAAATTACAAATACAAATTCAAACACTTTCAATAAAACAGCTTTGGCATTCTGTTTTGGAATGTCTTGGCCTGATGAAGCTCTCCTATGTAGACAGAAAATGCAAGTCTGAATTTTCTTGTATTAAATGTATACTGGAAGTAATTAAGGTTATTTAGTGGGTGTGTTTGTTTCTGTTATAGTTTATTCCAGTTTCCCTATAGAATTTGAACATTACATTCCTTTTATAGGTATCATTTCTTTATCTCAATCACTTTAATTGTTTGGCTATATTCTATCCATCCAATCTCAACCATCCCTACATAGGTTGATTACTAATGATAGGGAACCCTCTATCTATGTTGGAAAAATCTGATATTTATGAAATACTCCTTTATAACTTCAAATAATTTCACTTCTTATATTGGTACTTCATCCAGGATGCTTGCTATGCTTATGTCAGAACATAAATGGACATCATGTATGCACAAATGAAACAACAGAATTGGCTAAATCTGTGTTAGATAATGTTTTTGAGCCTGTTTAGGTGGATGTTTAATTATTATGTCCATGTTCTAACCCCACGTGTACATATATGGAAACAATACATAGTTTAACTTTTAGCCCATGCAACCAACCCACTGTAAACCTGTCAGGATTTTGCTAGTTAAGACTTTGAAGTAGACTTTCTCTCCTCCATTAACACTGTATTTACTTATTTATTTTCAAAGGCTTTAGCAATTTAATTTGAATCCTTATTATGTTCCATTGCCTGGTGACAACAAACTGTTTTATTGAAAGTATTTGCATTTGTATTTGTAATTTTGTTTTTATACTTATTGATGGGCATCATATTATCTTATATACTTAAGAATTTCTATTGAGGATCAAATGACAATACATCAACCTAAAAAGCAAACACTATTAAATATGACAGTGTGCATCTTAATTTCACATTTAGTTTATCTAGAATTATCAGTACCTTTTGTTTTGAAAATCTTTAGTTGATATAAATAATAATGAAATTCTGAATATTGAAATAATATTTTATTTATTATAAAAATAATTGATTGAAAGAAAATAAAAATGAGCAAATTTCAAATATTTAAATAATTAATATTACCTTTTCTCATACTATTAACAATGAATGTGTGAGAATGTGATTTGTGTGCACGATTTTCCCTTAAAGCTTTTATTCATATCATTAACATTATTTTAGGAGGTAAGTAGTACTGCACATTGTTTATATTGATATTTTGATCTGCTGCTATAAAACTGCTCTTTAGATTTATTAGTGCTTTATGTTTATATAGACATCTTAAATATTGCATATATAAAATACAGTGCTCCAGCATTTTATTCTATATGTAATATACCTTTTTCATAATTATTCTAGCTACATCATCATAATTATTTATGATTTTATTGCTTTTTTACAATATATTTATATATTTATTTAATAAATATAAATATATATACATATATTTCATGATGCATTTATAAAATGGTTTTTTTATGACTTTTTTATAATTAAAAATAAAATGAATTTTTTGAGATATCTGATGAAGAATTTCATGTGTTATAATTTGTAATTTTGCATTTTTTGAAATAAATGTCTATTAATATATTATAATAATTATTATTTAATAAAAATAACTGATGCTATTTTATTTAAAAGTAAATTATAAATAGGAAAAGAAACAAGTAAATAAGAACATTATATTAAATACAAATATATTTTTTTTGAGGTTTCAAAATTTATTGTTTCTTCAAATAAATATAATCATATGATAAATAAACAATTTCAATAACTGAAACTAACTTAAAGGAATTATAAAGTCGTCAGGAAATGCTCTCGTTACTTCAGCTGTGATTATCAGTAGTGTAGAAGAGTGATAAATAAGTTATGTTGATTATTTTAGTAATTGTAGTATTAAAAATTGTAAACTACTGTACTATGGTGTCAATTATATATTTAATTTTGTTTTTAGTGTCTTAGCTTTTTATGTTTTGTTATGCCTGCATGTATTTTGTTATGAAATCCTGCTTGCAATATAAAACATTTCATATCATCACTATATTAAGGAAGATATTAGATCATCCATTAGAATAAAAATATTCATTTCATATTTGACATACCCAGTGTGTTTGGTTGAATGAGAATTGTGATTTTTAAACAACCAAACATGATACCTGAGTAGAAGTTATTCACACCTTTCAGAACATGATTTGGAGAAACAAGTCATTCCCTCTGATCAAGACGATTCCAGTTCTCAAGATCGTACTATAGAAGAACAAATTCCTGTTGAAGAGGAAAAGGTGATGGAAGATTTAGTAGCTAGCACTCTTCCAAGTGTAACTAAAGAAACTCTAGAATTAGCACTGACAAAACGTTTTGATGAAAATATAAAAACTTCAGTAGTTCAGAAGAAAATGATATCTGATGAAAAAGTAACTGACATATCAATTTCTGCTAATAAAAAAGATATTCACAAGATTACTAAAGAAAAAGAAATAATTAGCGATGAACGCAAACAAGAAGAAAAATCGCCTCAACATGTCGATCGTGGACTAAGTCCGATTGCTGTTTATACTGCCTATCCAGGTGATATTAGACGAGAGGGAAGCGAGTTCTTCATTAAAACGTATGATGCTCCCACCATGCAAGAACCAGTCACATCTTATTTAGGAAAATCTATTAAGGAAAATATTATTCGCAGTAAAAGTATATCGATAAATGAAGATACTCGGCCTTTGGAAATTTTACTTGATCGTAAAATTTTAGATATGGATGAAGGTAGGGCAACTTCAGAAAGTAAATTAACTTTAGTGAATCCACCAATAACAAAAACTTTAGATATACATTTTAAAACAGAATCACACATAAGAATTACTCATAGAACTAAAGATGAAAAAGAAGCATTATCACCAGAGCATATTTCTCTTCCCAGTGATAAAAACATGGTAACAGAAATTGAAAATCTTCCATCTTCTCCGGTGCTTCAGACAGATCAAGCATCTAGTCCTATTAATATCGAATCACCTTTGAAAACAGAAATTATTAAATCTCCAAGTCTTACCGAAGAAGATATATCAAAGGGTATTGGATTACAAGAAAGTTTCGAATTATCAGAAGAAATATATGAAAAATCTGAAATAGCTACCAGTCCTATGTCCGATCATCTTTTAGATACTGGAGTCGGCACTGAATCACCAGTCACAACAGAAACTGCAAGTAGCCCCTTTCAATTTGAAACGAAATCTGTTGCTGTAAGTCCTCACGATTCCGCAGCAGATATATCATTTCCGAAAGAAGATTCATCTACCCAAACAACATTGGTAGATACCGTATCTGCACACACAAGTCCAATGGATTTATCACTATCCTTTCAGGATGCTCTTCTAGATCAACACATTCAATTAGGTGTTGCAGATATTGAAAGTCAAGATGAAATTGAAACACCAGGAACAGAAATTTTAGATGATGAAGAATTAGAAGATAAATTTGTACAGGAAAGTTTGCCAGAAACAAAGGAACAAGCATTAACTTTAAAATCAGAAGCAATTTCAACACAAGAAAAATTAAAATTAATGAAACAAAATGATTTTGAGAGAAGTAAAGATGTAAAATTAATACAGACTTACAAATTTGTAACAACTCAAAGAAAAGATGTAGATAGCATTGATAAAAGCATAAAGCAGGAAACAGTTTTAAAAAGTGGCGAAAAAGTTTTTACAACATTCATTAAAGAAGAAAAAGTGAAAACAGGTAAGCTTAAGTGATAACTTTAATTAAAAAAAGACAACAAGGCAAGTCAAACAATATCAAATAATAAACAAGAATATTAATTCTCTTAAGGAAAATATATTATGTTAATTGATGGCCAGTATTTTTATTTTNTATATATGTAATTAGGTTCAACTATAGTATGAGTAAAGATAAATTTTATTTCTAAGTTTAAATTGAAATCAGAATTGGAAATGGAACAAAGATAAATACAAAATTAAAACAATAACAATAATAATATGTCATGAAGATTTTATTTTAAAAATACAATGTTCAAAATATTTTCTTCAGAGATTTTACTGTAAGATTAAACTACAAGATCTATATAAGAGCAGTTTTTAGTACAGTTGAAATCTCATTATAACAAATCTGCTGGAGCAATAAGCAACTCAACACTCTCTGTACTCTTTCCAACAAACCAACAAAACATTTTGCCCTTTTTATCTGTCTTATAAATAATATATATACAGTATATAATTAGGCCATTCAACTTATTTCATGTAGTGTTTAATTTATCTATGTTCCAGCTGTTACAGACTTTTATGTTTTTTACATCAATAACTAAATATATAAATTAAATCTGCTGTAGCAAAATGAATAAATACATGATTAGTATATTATTGTAAATGATATTCAGAATAAGCAGTAATTATAATGGAGAAAAAGAAGTAAGAAAAGTATAATTTTTAGTAGAATTTATAATATACAGTACAATTAATGTTTCTTTGACTAGATAACAAAGTCATCTTCAAATCTCACCACAAAATATAAGATTTAAAAATTATTTTAAAAAAAAAAACCAATGATTCTATAATTTAATTTCTAAAAAAATTTCATAAAATTTAAGAAGTGTAATAAAAAATAACAAAAATAAAACAGATACAGATGAAATATATATATATATATATATAAAACCAATGAAAGCTAAAATGGTGCAAGTCAGTTTTTCCAAAAATATTACATTGCTGCTGTTTTACTTCAGTTCCTGACAGCATTATTTACATATGTTGTATACAAACATTAATATTCCTTAAACATTTGGTTCAAACACAACCAACAATAGACTTATATACTAGCCCAGACATGGCCAACATACGGCCCGCGTAATGGATTTATGTGGCCCGCAATTAATCTTTCAACATTAGCATTAGCTACTCAAGTCAGAACAGCCCAGTGAAAAATACTAACGCCTAAAAGAAAAAAAAAAAGGTCAACAACTTGCTGTCTAACCCTCCATTACAAATCTCTTAAGTACAGTGTAGAATGTTGATAAAGCATGATAATGTGAAAAATATGTATCAGTAATCTCTATGTACAATTTAGTCTCTACTGGGTGACACCACAATGAGATCTTGTACCACCTCAAAATCTTACTAGGGCAGCCTCTAATTCGGCCCGTGAAAAAAGTTTTCTTTCCAATTCGACCCAGGGACAAAAACTGTTGGCCATCCCTGTACTAGCCTATGTATATTCAACAATAAAAAACTTTGCAATGAAGAAACAATGTTTCTTCATTGTTTCTTCATTGCATTGTTTCTTCATCCTCTTCAGTTGGTTTTAATTTACAACCTTTTTAACTGACACATAACACACAACATAATTTGTGAAAATTACATGTAAAATATCATTTATATCTATGTTAGTCTTAGAGTTGTAGATTATGTTTTATATAATATTGTAAAAATGGAGATAGTAGAAAACAGTAGTTTTTTTAATGGTGTTAATTAATTATCTAAAATACAGACAAAAAGACATTGACATATAAATTAAAAACAACCATGCGTACAAAATTTCCAGCAAATAATATGTATTTAAATTAAATACAAAAAACAACGTTTTCAACCTCTTTTAGAGGCCTTCATCAAGGGTCAAATTTTACCAAGATCAAAAACATTCTGTTTTCTGTATTTAATTCAAATACATATTTACTGGAAATTTGTATGCATGGTTGTTTTTAATTTATATACATTCCAGCAATTAGGGACTTTCATGCTAATTTCATTGACATATGAATTAAATATTCTTATTTTCTATATATTAAAAAAACACTAACACTACTTACCTTAACTTTCTCAAATAATGAAAAAATATGAATTTAATCAGATTAAATCTGATTTAAACTGATTGTGAGTAAACTGATGTTTTTTGCCAATTGAAAAAGATAAGGTGTGAAGTATTAGAAAACTATATACTCTATATATATTAAATTACAAATATTTATTATTAGGACAAGGTAAATACTCTTTTTATTAGAGCATATAAAAAAAAAATCAAATGAACACAGTATTGTCAAAAACATAAACCCAAATAGACAAAACTGAAAAATTTAACAATTAATTTAAAATGTATTAAAAATACAACATTAATCTACTATAACAATGTAAAATTTAAAATCCAATTATTAATGAGGAGGTCATCAAGAATGGAAACATTTCAACGACAATTTTTATTATATGCAAAGCACCGCTTTATAGCTAAAAGGGAAAAATGAAATTACTATAATTTTATGACAAAATTATAATGATCACATAACAATACACAAAAGTAATATAATGAGAAAAAAGTTATACAAAAGTAAGTTTTCCTTAAGTTAACTAACATCTCATATTAGATGAAACTATATAAATTTTGACTGCATAACTCATAATATTTCCTGAGGACATTTTTACATGTAACTGTTTTTAAACAGTTTCATCTTATATATAATTTACAAATTTATTTAAGCATTGTTGCCATTTAAACAATTGTTCTCAATGTTTGTCTGTCTTATAAAAAATGTATACACTTTTGTACTTCATATACTCAAAAGCACTTAAATGATTTATAAGTTTTGCTCGAAGAATGCATTTTATCTCAGAATATATATCACAAATCATTAAAAAAAATTTTTTTTGTAGTGAGATTTAACTGTTACTAGTTAAGTATTCAAAAAACTTTAACTGTATATTATAAATATCATAAATTACTATTTTCTTGTTTCTAGTTTATTTTGTTTTGTTACTTATGAAGATAAGTAAACATTATTATGTAATATATATGTAATTAGGTTCAACTATAGTATGAGTAAAGATAAATTTTATTTCTAAGTTTAAATTGAAATCAGAATTGGAAATGGAACAAAGATAAATACAAAATTAAAACAATAACAATAATAATATGTCATGAAGATTTTATTTTAAAAATACAATGTTCAAAATATTTTCTTCAGAGATTTTACTGTAAGATTAAACTACAAGATCTATATAAGAGCAGTTTTTAGTACAGTTGAAATCTCATTATAACAAATCTGCTGGAGCAATAAGCAACTCAACACTCTCTGTACTCTTTCCAACAAACCAACAAAACATTTTGCCCTTTTTATCTGTCTTATAAATAATATATATACAGTATATAATTAGGCCATTCAACTTATTTCATTATAATGGATAAATAAAAAAAAGCAAATTGTAAATAGTTTTTATTTGAAAATAGTTCTTAATAAATTCCATAATTATTTATAATAATTCTTTTTATTATATAATAATTTTAGTAGCACAATTACAAAATAAAATTTGTACACTATCAAAAAATCATGCCTTTAAAAGATCCAGTAATGAATTTAATAAAATAAAAATTGATCAAAAACGTTTTTATTGTATTAAATTCTTTACTGGATCTTTTAAAGGCATGATTTTTTTTTATCCATTTTTATCCAGTTTGTGCAAAATATATTTGTACACTATTTCATCATTGAAAAATACAGTGTGTTCAGTCTAAAAGTAATAACATTGGTAATGTGAATGTACCATATAAAGAGATGAATAACAAAGAAAAACACTTTGTACTCACAAATATTATATTTACAGCAGGTGTTCAAAATGATATCCCTCCAGTTTAAGGCATTTAATGTATTTCACCATGTTTCTTGCAACATTCCATAACACCTGATCTATGGATGGATAGCATTGGTTATTTTCATCTGTAAGTGTTGTAGGGTGTATGTGGATGGTGTGTGTGATGTGTTCATCTTGATGGCCACAGTCCTGTAGAAATTATTCTGTCACCAAAAAATTCCCACAGAATTTCCATAGTCAATCAAGCAGTGTGACATGTTGTACTATCTTGCTGGATCCAGCAATCACTTTCATCCTCTTGCAGTAAAGAAATGAATTGTTGGATGATTTCCTGGTAGGACTCCACATTTAGTGTGATTTTAAAAAATTGGGTCTGATTACTCATTGACTGGAAAGGACACACCACCACATACCACACCCCTACTTACTGAGGTGTTTCAATAAACAATATGAATTTTCAGTTCCCCATCTCCTGTAATTCAGACTGTTGATATACACATTTAGATAAAACTTCTCTTTATCTCTGAAAAAAACATGAGATCCAAATTGCCAATGTTGTCTTATATCAGGTTTTGACAGTAGTTGACCCTTTTTGTGTAGTCATCAGGTGTCAATTTGCAAACTAACTGCACTTGGTATGGATACAACCTTAATATTTTCCTCATAGCTGTATGTACAGAACCAAGGGAAATGTTCATTTATTGGCTTAATCTCCTGAGTGATTTTGAGGAGGCCTAGTCATGACTGAATATCCATCATTACATGTGCAGTTAAAACCAATCTCTGACATATTTATCTACGGTGAAATCTGCTTTACAAAACATTTTCACCAATAGATGAATTGCTCTTTTCACTGGCACCTCCTTTTGAAATTTCATTGTAAAGGTTTGTCAACATTGGACATACAGATTGGGTCCTGAAATACTCTTTCACTAAAAACATAGGTTCTTCATATTACAGTGTATAGGCAACTCTAGTCAAGCAGAAACAAGAACAATGAACATCTCTCTTGCACCTGGTTAAGTAATATTTTTGCTCACCCATCTACATGTTGCCAGCCAATTCCTAAAATTTTACATTTTGTTTAAACAAACATCAATGATTAGTAATCACTGAGATACTTTTACATTATACAACCTGTACTTTCTGGGAATCGCTAATATAAAAATAAATTTGTA